GTGTGTGTGTGTGTGTGTGTGTGTGTGTGTGTGTGTGTGTGTGTGTGTGTGTGCTGAGTGAGCGCCATAGGAAGAAGCTCACACTTCGGGGCCAAGGAGAAAAACTTGTCTCCCCTGGAGCAGCTCACACTTGCCCGAGGGGCTCCTGGGCCCCCGTGGCCTGTGTGTGGCCCCAGTGTGTGAAGTGTGTGCACACGTGTGTGTGAATGAAGGGTAGGGCCTTCCTGGCTCCTCAGCCCACATGACAGGAACCACGTTCCTCCCTTGGGCATGAAGACCTGAAGAAGCCACGCTGGATCCCACTTAGCTTTGAGAGCAGAGTTCGGGCAGCTCCATTGACACTCTTGTTCAGGGTTAAGGAGAGGCAGTGTGAACTGCAGATGTTCATGGAAAAAGATGTTCTTTGCTCAAGTAAAAAAATATCAAATATAATAAATCTATGAAAGCCTGTTCACAACATGGACAGTGTGTTTTCCATTCCACCTCAGAGGCCGGGAGAGAGATGCTGTTCAGAGCCTGGCCAGACAGGCTCCTCGGGTGTGCCAGGCTTCTGGGGACAGGCCTCTACCAATAAGGGTTCCTTCGGCTGCTCCTGGCTTCAGTGCAGAGACACAGAACTCTGCCTTGTGGTTCCTCCAACGCAAGGCTCGTCTGTCACCTCTACAGTCCAAAGCCAGAAAGGCCTCAGCTGACAGTGGTTTTAACTGCATTCAGGTATGTCAGGATTCAACAGGGTGTGTGACCATTGGTGGCCAGGCTCACACTATCGATTCTCGGTCCCTATCTGGAGATGGAGGGAAGTCGGCAAGATCCTCACTGCGGCTATAGTCCGATGCTCGCACTGGGAGGTTATCACTGGTGGCTCTCGTGACGCTATCATATGATGGGGGGAAGGATGTCGAGGAAATGGAGGAGCTGGAGGGCGGACCACTGCGCCGGGAGAAGTTCTCATTCATCATGTAGGCAATGAGGCCCTCTCGCTCAGGGGCATCCTCGTCCGAGAGGCCGCTGCCCGTCTGCTGGCGGAAGAGGAAGGAAGCATGCTTCACAGACCGCTGCAGCAGGTGCCTCCGGAAGGCCCGCTGGATGATCGTGGCCGACACCTCCTCATGCTTCCGTCGGAGGGTGGTGGTGATGGGCTCGTAGGAGATCTTGGAAGGATTGGCTGCCATGAACTTCTCCTCCATCTGGATCTTCAGAGCGTCCATTTCTCCGGACTCCCCGAGCACCCTCTTGGTGAAGGCGAACAGGATATCCATACAGTGGATGCGGTCCCCGCTCACCATGGGCAAGTCCATGTTGATGAGGCTTATCTGGTTGGGCTTGGCGATGCGGAGCGGTTCGGACAAGGCGTCTGCGAAGTCGGACAGGGCCGAATACTCAATGAACTGGGTGGCCTCGGGGTCGAACTTCTCCCAGATCTCATAGAACATGTCAAAGTCATCCTCGCTCAGGGGTTCCGTGCTCTCTTCCGTGGCCACACTGAAGTTCTCCAGGATGATGGCGATGTACATGTTGACCACGATGAGGAAGGAGATGATGATGTAGGTAGTGAAGAAGAGGATACCCACCGCCGGGCTCCCACAGTTCCCCCGGGAGCCATTGCTGTTGGGCAGATTGGGGTCACAGTATGGGGGCCCCGTGTTGAGGATGGGGCTGAGGAGGCCGTCCCAGCCGGCTGACGTGGTGATCTGGAAAAGGCACAGCATGCTGTTGGCGAAGGTCTGGAAGTTGAACATGTCGTCGATGCCAGCTTCCCACTTGACATACGCAAAGTTGGCCATGCCGAAGATGGAGTAGATGAACATGACGAGGAAGAGCAGGAGGCCGATGTTGAAGAGGGCAGGCAGGGACATCATGAGGGCAAAGAGCAGCGTGCGGATCCCCTTGGCTCCTCGGATCAGCCTGAGGATGCGGCCGATTCTGGCCAGACGGATGACCCGGAAGAGCGTCGGGGAGAAGAAGTACTTCTGGATGATATCGGAGAGGACAGTGCCTGTGGGGTACAAGCAAGACTGTGGCCACCATGACATCTCTGCCCTCCTTCCATCCCAGTTCACCAAGGGCAAGTGCATCTGTATAGAAGGCCAGTTCAGTGGGACAGTCTAGGACTTGGCCTCTCCTTGCCTCTATGATCCAGGAGATGAAGACCTATACTTTACTAGATGGCTTCTCAGCGCTGTTCTACTTGTAAGGATGCGCCTGTACGACGGAGGTGTGCCGGGACACTGTTACATGTGTTCTGAGGCCAGAGGGTACTCACTCAGCACTCCAGCAGCCCAGCAGGAACCAGAGCTGAAGGCGTCCTGCTACCCACTCACTGCTTAAAGTATGGGCCAAGGACCAGCAGCCTAGGGCTCTCCTGGAGGCTTATTGGAGATGTAAAATCTCAGCTCTACCCCAGCCCATTTCCTCTTAATGCATCCAGACACTGCCCTGCGACTCCATGGGGCACACTGCCCTCCTTACCTCCATCTGGGGCCTTGGGGGCATTTCTGAGTCTACTTTAAGTTCTAAATGCCTGCCCATCACCACCACAGCAGGAATGCCTGTCTTAACCTCTGTTTAGATGTAGATGACGTTTGGGGTGATTCCAAAGGCAGATGTGTACTCAAGGGAATGGAGTGGGGGCCAAGCATTTGGACCCCGAGCCCAGCAACAAAGGAAAATATATACGGTCAAAATTAGACTTCGTCGAAATTAAAACACCTGTGCTTCAACAGAAATCACAAAGACAGGAAAACAAAGGGAGAAAGGGAGGGAATATTTTTGATTTGTATATCTGATAAGGGACTAGAAAGCTGAACTCTTGCAATTCAACAATAAAAAAGATAAAATACTCTAATTTTTAAAATGAACCAAAGGTTTTCGACAGCTATTCTCTATGGAAGATAAACGGATGGCTAGTGAGCACAGGAAAAGACATTCGGTTTCATAAGCCACCAGGGCATTAGAAACACAAACGCCAATGAGGAACACTCTCTCCAGAATGGTTGTAGCCATCATAAAAACCCATCGCGTGTGCTGGTGAGGAGGTGGATTAATGGGAGTTCCGATCACCAATGCTGAGTATGTGAAATGGTGCAACCACTTTGGAAAATGGTTTGATAATTCTTGAATATTTTAGATTAGTGCTTGCCAGGCATGGAAGGAGAGTGGACATGGAGAGGGGTTACCCATGGTCAGAGTCTCTCTTGAGGGTTGTCTAGCACTACATAGAGAAATGGTTGCTCAGTTTGGTGACATTCATGTTCTACTTAACAGTCGTCAAGCCAGTGCAGGCGTGACAATGGTCCTACAGGAACATACTGTCCAGTGACCTTGTGGCTGTCTTTGTGTTAGGCAAATTCTGTGATGCTCACGCAATGAGGAAACCGCCTAATGACACATTTTTCAGAACATGTCCCTGGTGTGAAGCAGTGCCTAATGGCATTGAAATCCATCCACAGAATGTTCTCCATCAAGTGAATTTTAAGTGAACCTTCTG